GTTTCAGCCCCTTGGCCGGGTCTTGGCCCCAGCCCCTTCCCTTGTGTCATGGCCTCCAGCCTCTGCTCCCCATGTCCCAGCAGCTAGAGGGGTCTTCTAAGGCCCAGCCAGGATGCCAGAGCCCTCTGCGGCTCCCCAGGGCCTCTGTAGTCTGTGAGACCCTGTGTGGCCGTGGCTCGACCCCACCCAGCTTCCTGGGCTCATCTCTTGGTTTCCCCTGGCCACGCTTTCATTTCACATCTGACATCCCATAATGGGGAACTGCAATTCCGCCAGCACTTTTCCCTCCCATTCACGTTGGTCCCTGTGTCTAGAGTTTCTGCTCTTTTGCTGCCTTCCTTCCTCACCCTCCTTCAGGTCCTGGCTTAATGTTTCCTCCTCCAGGAAGCTCTCCCTCCCTGCTCCAAGAAGGGCAGACACCGCGCTGGCTCCCTCACGTCAGCTCTGGCCACTCCGGTCATTGTCGTCTGGGGGTGGGTCTGTCCGCCTTATCAGACTGAGCCCTGGGAAGGCAGAGCCAGTGTTGGTCTCTGGGTTGCCACTCTGTGTCGGCTGGGCACCCATAGGGGCTTAGGGAGATTTGCTGAAGCGAAGGGCCCTTGGTATCCTGTACTAGTATGTTTTTAGGGCTATAATTTCTTGCTTTTGCCCAGATGCCTCATTCTGATTTTCTTCTCTACCCAGAAAGATCCTCAGCAGGCCCTCAAGGAGCTAGCTAAGATGTGTATCCTGGCCGATTGCACCCTGATCCTTGCCTGGAGGTGAGATGGAGATGTCCGTGGTGCCCACTGTGGGCTCTATTTGCTCCTTCCCCTATCCCAGCCCTTCTCTTCTCCCACAAACTCCCTTTGGGCACTGCCTCTCTGGGCCTCAGTGTCTTCAGCTGTAAAGTAGGATCATAATATCTTACAGGGTAATGTAGCTCGCATTCCCTGGACCACACTAGGCACTAAGGAGTTAGACATCAAATCTGGCTGAGTAATTCATTCCACCTACATATTTCTTCACTTGTCTTGCATGGTTTCATCCTCTCTGGCCAAGTGAAAGATTGGCTTCTTTCATTGTGCTTTGAGGTGACTCCATGACTTTTCATGATTTGACTACTCATTGTATTGTCACTGAATTCATTGTCTGGGTCCACCTTTTTTCCAGCTTCATAATATTCCACTCTGGATGCACCGGATCAGGACCCCTTAGTGGGTGGTTACTTGGGCATTTTCAGTCTTCTGCTGTTACCAGCAACATGTCTACCTCTGCCCTGAATCCCAAGAATGAAGTTTTAGGTCCAAGGAGAAATGTATTTATAACACTGTCCTTTCTGAGGGTGCATCTCTGTACTGTTTGACTACTCAGAAACGACTATTTATTCATTAGTTGTATGGTGAAACAGAAGCAAAAGCAAGTGTAAAGACTACTCGTACTTTATGTGAAGCAGCATAGTGGAGAGCATCTGCGGGGGTCAGACCCACTGAGGCTGCTGTCTCCTCCCCTCCCTCTCCTCTGGCTTTGTGATCGTGAGTGCATGTCTCAACCCCTCTGGTCTTCTGTATAGTGATATGGGATCTCTCAGGCAGTTCAGAATCTTCTGCCATTGGTTTAGGACAGTGGCTGATACACAGCCAGGCCCATACCTGGGGAATTCTGTGTCTTCCCATACAAGCTGTGGCACAGTTTGCAGTCATTAAGTAAAAGAGGTCAGAAATGCCAGCTGATATGGAAAGGCATCTGGTTATATTGCAGAGGGCAAAAATCAAAGCAGATCAGGGAGCTGGCCGTGGGGTGCTAGGGTGCTAACTCGGGGTATCCAGAACAGTTCTCCATCCTTGTCACATCAGCTGTGCCATGGTCTGTCTCCCGGAAAAAAGTAAATTTAGGAAGACGAGTCTATCTTTTCAGACTAGAAATTGTCGTTTCATCAACCAACATGACTTACTGGCTGGATATCGAAGTCTCAGAAGATGCCTCCAGACAAATACTTTATTTACTTTGACTTCACTCATTATTCTTAAGTTCTAAGGAGAAAAAAGGCCCACCATTTCCAATAAACGTTGAGTTCCTTTGCCCTGCACCCCACAGACGCCCTTTTATGAGTAATTTCAGCTGCCTTTGAGACAGTTAATGACATGCTCCAAAAAAATAGTGCCTAATGTGAAAATTACCAGCCATTAGTAAATCCTGTCAGCTGTTAGATTCAGCAATCAGTGCCCATAGCTTTTCCTTTGAAGTTGAGCAATAGTAAAAGCCCCCTTTTTATGTGTGTAGAACTGGGGTACAGGCCAGAGGTGTGAGGCGTGAGAGGCTTCACCGGAGACAGAGTGAGGAGCAGAACAGGCAGATCGACTGAATCAGAAGGAAGGGAGCAGCGGGGAGGCAGGAGAGGTCTGCCGCACCATGTGGTCGCCCCCTGGCTGGGCCGAATTCAGGCCATCAGGGTCCATCAAGGTCGAAGGCTGACTTAACCCCTAGCCACTTGGGAGGCCCAAAAAGCCCCTTTTTTCTTGGTGGTGGGATGCTGCATGCCTCAGGCGGTTGTCTGCCCGTGGCTAGGAAAATAAACTGTTGCCAGTGTTCTCCCTTCCAGACCCAGGCACCAACTTCCTTACAGAATAGCTAGTGTTTCTTAGACACCCAAGTGCCAGGCCGGGTTCAGAGCATTTAGAGGGGTGATGACTCACGGAATCATCCCGGCGCTCCCATCCACCCCACTTTACGATGAGGAAGCTGTCCCAGAGGTCACTGCCCAGGGTCGTGCAGGCGGGTAGTGGGTCCTGAACCCACTGGGTCAAGCTCCCAACCTGGTCCTTGGGCAGAAGAGATGTGTGAGGATTTGCCCTGCAGGGGTTCCCACATTTTTGTGTATATTCAAGTTTGGGGTTTTGAGGGTCAGCAGTTACTGCTACTGTAAGTGAAGTGAATGGAAAACTGACCCCCACCCCCCCCCCCCCCCCCCGCTGCCTCACTCCAGCCCCGAGGAGGCCGCGCACTACCTGGAGACCTACAAGGCCTATGAGCAGAAGCCCGCAGACCTCCTGATGGAGAAGCTGGACCAGGACTTCGTCTCCCGGGTGAGCCACCTTGCTTCCTTGCTGCGCTGCTCCCCACTTCCCTCCTGGGAGGCTTGAGCCAGTTCTGATCTCAGGTCATGCCCCAGCCCACCCTCAGCCTCCCGCCTCCCCTCTTCCACCCCAGGGCAGCTGGGGGCTTTTCCTAAGCAGACCGGCTCCTGCCCGCTCCAGCTCTGCCTCGGGGAGCCCTGCCCTCACCACCTTCTCCCGCCTGCCCCCACCTGCCCTCCCGGGCCCAGCCCCTCCTCGCCTGTGTTCTGCTCCCTCTACTGGAACCCCATCTTTCACATCTCTGCTCTGATGCTCTCAAACTGGGAGTCCCTCCTGGCCCCCAGGCCAGGTCAAGCCCTACCCATCACTGCAGGCCTCGGGGGCAGCTGGTGAGTGAAGGTGGACTCAGGGGTCCCAGGAGAGCACTGGCCCCAGCCTTCGATGTGTTTCCTGGGGCTTCTGAGGTCAGGGGACACAGCTGAGGCCGCTGGACAGACGGGCCTGTGTCAGCAGCTCCCAAGGGTGTAAATGTAACGTCCTGCTGGCGCATCACCTCAACAGCCTAGTTCACAGCGCCCCCCCCCACCCCCCAACTCTGAAAACTCCCATGTGATGGGGAGGGAGGGCGGCAGCTTGCCCAGCCCCTCAGCTGGGAGCTGGCAACACCGGGGCCTGGATGGAGGCAGCCAATGCCCAGGCCCCTTGGTGCCATCAGAGGTTTAGTCGCCCACTGCGCCGGCAGTGCCCACGCCACCCGAGGGGGTGCATTAGTCCCTCCAGGGGTTCCCCTTCCCTGCCCGCAGTTGCCCAAGTTCCAGAAATACCACAAGAAGCAAGACAGCGTGAGCAAATGCCCACATTCACAGCCGGTGTGCGATGCGAATTAACCTTCCTCGCAGCTGGTACTGGGGAAGAGTATCCCTGGGGCATCTGCTGGGGGTCTCAGAGCATATTCTCCATGAATAAGGGGGACTACTGCATCACTGGGACCCCATGTACCTGAAACGAGGTCCTGAGAGGTCAGGCCCGGGTCGCACAGGGAGCAGGCCTTGCGTTTAAACCCAGGGCCTAGTCTTCTCAAGATTAGGTGCCTCTCTTCTCACCACGTGACCCACACCTGCTAGCTAGAGGGGTCACTCTGAGGTGACCTTCCAGTCAGAAGCACAAACCTCTGCTTCCTCCCCCCTCTAGGTGAGCGAGTGTCTCACCACGGTGAAGTCGGTCAACAAAACGGACAGTCAGACCCTCCTGACTACTTTCGGGGTAAGGAACAACACCCCCCCCCCCCAGTCCCTATCGAGCATTTCCGCCCCCTTGCTTTTCTAGGAAGCCCCCTACCTGTTTCCTTCCGCCTCCCCGCGCCCCACCGGCTCCTCCCCTCTGACAGAGCGGGCCCTGACCCTCTCGCCCTCCCTCAGTCTCTGGAACAGCTCATTGCAGCATCAAGGGAGGATCTGGCCTTGTGTCCTGGCCTGGGGCCCCAGAAGGTGAGAGCTCTGGGAGTGACTTGAGGGCTGAGTGGGCAGGAGGGAGCCCCCCATAAGAGGAACCACAGACCCCAAAGCTCTATAGCTCAGAAAAAAGTGACCATGTCTTTCCTATCGATGGGGAAAGCCGAGGTGCAGGCGGTGGGGGGTGGCCAGTCCAACCTCAAGCCAGTGTGGGACCAGGGCGGGAGCAGGGGCACCCAGGTTGGGCTACCTCTCAGTCCCTGGCACCCCCAAAGCTGGGAGAAGGAAAAGCCCACTCCAGATGTGGCACACAAGTGGTGGTTTAATGCCAGGTTCTCCCTTCCCCAGGCCCGGCGGCTGTTCGATGTCCTACATGAGCCCTTCCTGAAAGCTCCCCGATGACCCCGCTGCCAGGACGCCCCCATGGAATAAAGCGCTTTCCAGGCCCGGCTCTGGCTGCTGTGCTGGCGCAGTCACAGGGCCGCCGCCTTCTGCGGCCGTGCGTGTTCCAGCTACATAGGACTTGGCTGCAGTTTCTTCTTCCGCTTTTTCTCCCGTCCTGTGGGAACTACTTGCCCAGGCCCCAGATCCAGCAGAGGCTCTGGCGTGTCCCCCTGGGGTACCGCCTCTGGCACCCCGCTTTCTTGGCCCTGCTGCTGCTCCCTGGCAGACGCCCGGCTTGCCCTGGCTCCAGGCTGCATCAGCTCCCCTGCGGGGCCCGGTGGGTCCGCGCCCGGCTCTGTGGCTCTGTGGCCTCTGTCTTTCTTCTTCTTCCTGGGGGAGGCGAGAGCCACGGGAGGCTCCAGGCCACGTGGCGCCAGCGCCGCCTGGGACACCACCTCCTCTGCCCTGGACTGCGCTGGCCGCTTTTCTTTCTTCCTCCTCTTCTTGGCGGATGCCGTGGCCCCGGCCTGAGGCTCAACTCCAAGCGGCAGGTCAGGCGCTGCCGTCTCCTCGTGGAGCTCCTGGGGCCCAGTCTCCGGCTGGGGCTCAGTCCCGGGCGCCATCACGTCGTGCCCCTTTTCCTTCTTCTTCTTCTTCTTGGGGGATGGCGCAGGGAGGGCTTCCTCCCGCGGCTTCACTGCCACCCGCAGGGGAGCCCCGCCGCCTGCCCCCTCCACGCCTGCCCCCTCCACGGGCTCGGGCTCTGGCTCAGGCTCAGGCTCGGCGCTTTCTGTCCTCTTCTGCCTCCGCCTCTTCTTGCTGGGGGAGAGGCGTGTCTCTTCCGGCGGCTCAGTTTTAACCACAAGTCCCAGCTCTGCCTGTGCTTCTCGCTCCAGCATCCCCGCTTCTGGCTGGACTGTTTCTGCCTCTTTGGGTTTCTTTTTCCTCTTCTTGGTGGCGGGTGGGAACAGGACGCCCACCGGCTCCAGCATCTCTGCGGCGGGTTCTGTCGCTGCCGCCGCCTCCAGTTCACTCCGCTGTTGCTTCTTCTTCTTCTTCCCCACGTTCCCCAAAGCTGAGTCTACCTCTACTGCCCCATGTCCATTCACTGTCTCCGGAGGAACTGAGGCCTCTGGCGTGTGCCTCTTCTTTTTCTTCTTCCTCGAGGATGGCGACGTCAGGGCCAAGGCTGAGCCAGGCCCCGTGACTGGCGGGCTGCCTCCAAAGGCACAGAACCGGGGCCTCAGGCCAGGGGGGATCTGTGGTGCAGGACTGGCTGGGATGGGCTGCAGGGCAGTCCCTGATGGGGACCCTTGGGGACCCTCGAATATCCGTAGGTTGCCCTGGGCGGCGGGGGCACAGGTGAGTCCCCCTCCTGCGTCTGCTGAGGGGGCCAGCAGGGTGGCTTCTCCCTCCCGGGGGCCGCTGCTGCCAAGGACCCGATAGCGGTGCCGCTTGCCTTCCAGCTTGCCCTTCACCATCTGGGAGCCAGAAAGAGGCACCAATCTGCCGTTGAGGCTGATGGGAGAAAGGGGGAGGCAGGAGCTTGATCAGACTTTTTAAATTTTTAAGCACAAAGGGAATGAATGGAGTTGAGAAGCAGCATTTCTGTGTACCTCAGAAATGTCCCCTCAAACTTCCCGCAGTTCAGCCAGTGGGATGGACAGTATTCGGGGAAGGGCATCTGGGGCCACTCACCAGTCTGGGGCGAAGTCTACAGGGGCCTGGATAAGCCACAGCTCGGTATCGGGGCCCGTCAGCCCTTCTAAGGAGAAACGAGTAGACTCTGAGGCTGGAGGCATCTCGGTAAAGTTGGGGGGGCAAGAGAAGCGAGCAGCACCTAGGGAAGAGAACGGTTCCCTGACGCGCTCCTGCCAGCCTCACCCTCCAGGGCCTTTCTGTCCCAGCTCGTCACTTGGCTTCTTCCCTCTGCCCGCCCGGTCCCCGAGCCCCCCGGTTCGGCTCGCTGGGGCGCGCTTCTCCCCTGCGTAGCCTCCCCTACTTCCGATCTCCCGCACACCCCCTGCCACACTCTCTCTGCGGTTCCCGCATCCGGTGTCCCTTCCTCCGCCCAAATGTCCCGGGCGCCCCGTTCTCTCGCCAGCCAGCCCTCTGACCCCGTCGGCCCTTCCCGAGGCAACTCACCGCCCGACGGGGGCCCCGCCGTCCCGGGACCCATGCTGCGCAGACCCGGCAGCCAGAGCCGCGGCCGCCCGGCCGCCGACCACGTGGAGCCGAGGGGGTGGGGCTCCGCCCGGGAGCGCCCATGTGACGCGGAGCCGGGGGGTGTCGCTCGGGTCCCGCTCGCTCTCTGAGCAGAGCCGGGGAGCATTCCCACTTGAGCGGGGCAGACGATCGAGGAGGGCGCCTTTTCCAGAAAAGCTGCTTCGGTTCGGCACATCTGGTTGGCGGTTTGGTGGCGGTTAGAGCGGCGCCAGGTCCGGCGAGACCCCCCCTCCACCGCGCGGACGTTCTTTGCTCCGACACCGCCTTAAAGGGGCAGCCGCACTGAGAGGCCCGAACTCTTAAAGGGACAGGAAGACCGAGCGGCCTGAAGTTCTTAAAGAGACAGGTAAGCGTCTCGTCGGCCGCCCAGTGCCTTCGGTGGTACTGGAGGCCCATGTACCTCGGCAAATCAGAACTTGAGCGGGAGAGGTGGTTAAAGGGAGGAAGGGGGGTAAAGCTTCCCGAGGGCGTGACGAACCAGCCGGAGGAGGAGCTTCTGGGCTCCAGGGGAGCGGGAAACACAGGGGGAGGAGCCTATCGATCCAGGGGCGGAGCATCCGGAGCGGGACACGCGTGGGGCGGTGCGGGCGAAAGGGCGGGGCTGTGGGTGATTGCAGACGTGCTGACGTCTCCGCGGATTTAGTCTCGTGCGTGGGGGACCTTCCTGATGGTTTTGAGTAAGGTCAAGGACCTGACCAGTGCCCCTGACCGGTCCCGGGCCGTGTGTAAACAGCGGCACGTGGCCGCAGGTTTGGGGGACGCGCCCTGGCGGCTCCCCACTAGGACCGCATCGAGTGGGGCGGCGGGCGGAGCCGGGGACCGCGGCTAGACAGGGTGACCCGACTGCATTCCTAGCCGGTGTGTCAGCGCCCCTTCCCTCCGCCTCTATAGAGATTTCGGATCCTACTCCAGATTTGGGGCGCCCCCCTTATCCCAGAGCGGGGAGAGGGTCAGGGGAAGAGGGCAAACGTTCTCTTCGCCTGGGATCTCCAGACAGTTCCGCGCGTGGGCGCGACACCCGGGCGCCGCCCCTGTGGGCTCTTGTACTACAATTCCCAGAAGGCCCGAGGCGGGGAGGTGCCTATTACCTGTCGCGGAAGCTGCTGGGGGTTGTAGTTCAAACAGCCCGATTTTGAGCGCAATTGCTGGGAAACCCTGTAAAGAGCCAAACTTCCCTTTTCCCAGACCGTGTGGGTGAGGCTCAGCGACCCGAGGGGATATCTCTTCACTTTCGGGAGGGGAACATGAGAGTTCCCCTAGACTCGAGCCTTCTACTCCAGATCATCATTAAATAGAGACAATTAGCCTGGGGAGTGGGGCAGGGCGGCGGGAATCCATCTCCTGCAGCCATGGCAAGGTACGAGTCTGGACTCTGACCTCTGTGACTGTGTCGCTTTCAGTTTCTGGACTTGGCCCTTCTTGTCTGTGAAAAAGACTGAGTGAATCCAGATGGGAATGGCTCAGTCTGCGCCCTGCTCCTCCCGGACTACAAGTCCCAAGGTGCTTGAGGCGACCCCAGTTCCCCCTCCCTCGCGGGGCCCCGCCTCCCTCCACCCCGAGTCACGTCGTCTAACCTGTTCTCAGCGCCTGCCCCGCCCCGTCCTCGGCTCCCCGAAGCCGGAGCCGGAGCCGGAGCCGGAGTAAGCCCCCCCGGTGCCAGGATCTGCCCCGGATCCGTGAGTTCCACCCCCCTCGGGTCCAGCGGCTGTGGAGGAGCCCGACACCCTCGTCCCTGGGAGGGCTGGGAGGGGACTCGGATGCCGGATCCCAGTGTGGAATTGGGGGTGCGCAGACGCCAGGGTTCTTGGAAGGAAAGGACTTGGGTACTTGGTTTACGGGCAGAAGGAGAGAGACTTGAGTTCTTGGAATGGAGGATTCAGACGCTTTGACCGGGGAGATTTGGAGCTGGGACTCCTGAATCCCTGGACCTGGAGCTCTCAAGCCTGAGTCCTTGAGTAGGACTGAGGTATTGGATCCCTGGGCCAGGCAGGGCCTCTGAGCTGCTGGGACTCTGGAATGGGAGGCCACCCTGCCGCCCTCCTGCTGCCTTCTCCACCAGCCCTGATCAGAATTAGGGGTGGTGTGGGGGATAGTGGAACCTGGGTTCCTGAAATGGAGCGGGACAAGCACTGGGGGCCCCTCCGGAGGCCGAGACCCAGTGTTTCCTCCACTTTCCTCCTTTGGGGTGGGGGCGAAGGAGGAGGAACCCGGGCAATTTTCCAACCTTCTCTGTGCCGCTGTGCGATGCCCAACATGTCATTAACCGGGCGTCAGACCTGCCTAACCAGGAGAGGGAATTCTGTCCCAGGGCGCCCTCTGGTGGGGGCGGGGCACACACCCCCCCCTTGCCCCATGGAGGTGGGAATATTTGGGATTTGTAGGAGTTCTAGAACTTAGGGCAGACTTTCAGGAGGTGGGGTTGGTTTCTGGGAGGTTTGTATGGCTTGTGCATGACAGTTATTACACAAGAGGAGGGGGTAAACTGAGGCTTCCAGGTCACACAGTCAGCTGAGTCAGGGATCAGGACTTGGCCTCCCCCTTCCTCTGCACTACTCTGGAGGACCAGATTCCACCCGCTGCTGCCAGATTTTCTGACTAATCTTCTCCCTTCTAGGGCTCCTCGCCCTGACCCTGAGGTGAGAAATGTCACCTCCACCCCCATCTGTCTGACCTGAGGTAGTGTGGGAGATAAGGCTGGGATAGAGGCTAATTCTGGAGGTGTGTGTCTGTCCTTGAAGCTGGGGGAGGGCAGGGTCAGACCCCTCCCTCTGTCGCCCCCTTCTCTCCACCCCCTTGATCTTGAGAGGGTATTAAAGGAGGGTGTGGGGGAGACAGGAGGTTCTGATGAGAGAGAAGAATATCCTAATGTTTGTGCTTGAAGGACATTTGGTGATAGCCTGAGACAAAAGTCAAAATAATAACTGTCTGCCAAGCGCTCAGAGCGTGCCAGGCTCAGGGCTGGCAGGTAGACGGGAGGGCTTGCCTTGACCACAAAAGTCTCAGGCAGCGGCCCAAAGATCTCTTCCCATGAAGCTTGCTGACCCCAGGGCGTGACTGCTCCTTCTTCCAGTGGGACTGAGGCTGGTGAGCAGGCACAGCACACACCCTGGACTTTCTGCCACCCCCTGTGAAGCCCAGGGTTCCCCTGCCCCTGTCTGGGTGTTACTGGGGCTCGCCAGAACTCAGGATTGCTGGGGGTCAAAACCAAGGGCTTTTAACAGAGTTGAAAGGGCCCTTAGGGGGGAATTACTTTGGGATTTGAGCCCTCAGCTCTTGTGCTATCTTAATAACCAGGAGAGACTGTAATTAGGGCTCCTGTATTTGTGTATTCATGCTGGTGCTATCCTCTGACACCTATCCTCTGACACTGTCTGTGAAGTGTCATTCAAACCTCACACGGCTCTGAGGTGAAGGTGTCATTCTCCCCTACACAGAAGAAACTGAGGCACTGAGAGGGGAAATAAGTAGCGGAGAGGCTCAGAGGAGGGCTCTCCGCCATCAGTCTGTCCAGGGGCTGTAGGACCCTAAACCGGGTATCACAGCCCCTCCTGGCCCTCTCACCTGGACGATTCCTCCTGGGAGCCCTGCGGGATTCCCTTACCCGGAGCTAGGATGCAGTAGCTTGAGAGAAGGGGATGGAGGGAGAAGAGCTGGAGGCGGAGGGAAGCCTGGGGGTGGAAGAGGGACCGTGGGGGCCGGGAGCTGGGGTTGGAGGAGAGGGAACCTGGGGGTGGAGGGCCAGAGTCTGGGCGCAGAGGCGCGGTCCGCGCCGGCCTCGCGCCCCGC